TACTGAACAGCTTCAGCAGTTACATACCCGTCTTTATAGTTTCATGGCTGCAAAGGGTATCAGAAGGTTGATCTGAGCTTGCTGGCAAGCTGTATGCATAAAGAATTCAGCAAGAATATTCTACAAGGAAGAAGATTCTGTGCTTTCATAGTTAGAAGGAAGGTGTCAAGTCAAAGCAGTATCAGCCAAAGTTATTACATTAGTTGGCCCACCCAAACTCTTCAGTTTTTCCTTTGAAAGTAAACATCACAGAGACCCATTACGCTAGCATAACAGCTTGGATATTTAGAGTCACCAGTTCATGAGCAGAGTGCACAGGTTGCATTTAGGTCTCAAATTCAGTCCTTGACATGTCTACTCAAAAGGCTCACAATGACAGAGTTCTGCCTTGGACTGTGGTGAGCTGCCACTGCATGGAATTGAAGAATAAATGAACCAATTATGACTTCATACAAGAATCCTTTATAAGTTGATCACAAGTAGTTAAGACTTCCCATTTGCTGGGTAAACTAAAATGCTGATATCCTCTATTACACATGAGTTACATCCAGTTTCAAAAACTGTTAAGATACATAGTTTCAGAGATACAAAATTTGTCTGGTGTTATTTATTTCATTCTATTCTGCCCAATAGCCAAAGCTCCCTGGGCAGTTCACAAAAATACATGAAACATAGCAGTGAAATACAGCACAAATCATTTTTTAATTATGTATACAGAAAAATGTAAACAGCTCAAACAATTTCAACACAAACTAGACCTGTTTAAGAGCTGATATAAACCCCCATCTTGCCATTAACTGTTTGGGAAAGTGTGTCTTCACCTGGCACTGAAAAGATGACGAGTTGAGCATCAGGGGAGTGATCATTTTATAATTGAGAGCCCATCACTGAGAAGGCCTTCTCCCATGTTGCCACCCTCCAGGTTCTCTTCAAGGTGACACTCAGAGGAAGACCTCAGTTGTTGAAAGTAGTGCCCAGGTATTCAGGAAAAGCATTCCATCGGGTACAGCAGTCCCAAACTGTGTAAGCCTTTATAGATTAAAACCAGCTCCTTGAATTGTGCTGGGAAGCTCTGGGGCACCATCTGGTGGCCAGAAATGGAAGGCCACCATAGTAATTGCAGGATCAGGTCCAGGCCCTGCTGGAGCTCTCAACCTCCCGATGGGAGCTAGCTGGGAGAACTGGGGGAAGAGCTATGTAAGACCAAGCTTTCCTCTCCAGTGGCTGCCTCAGCAACACAGATCTTGTTAGTTTGTGGCCTGTTTTGGCTCCTGCATCTTGCCTGACCCTTGCTGCATCCAGTTCCTTCTTTGCCACCTTGCCTCGGCCTTGCCTTGCCCTTTCACATCTTCTGTTGCTCCAGAATCTTGCTTGGTTTACCCTACTTCAGGTATCTGCTCCCTGGTCTGTTTGCCTTCCTCGTTATGAAGGTTTAACTCATCTATGAGCACATCTTTGCCTTGCTTTAATACATGTACCTGACACTGGTCTGCTTCTTGACCATGACTGCCTCTGACCCAACCACCAGGATCTGAACAGTGTTTAAACCCTGCCCTAGCTTGGGTCCTCTTACCCTGGTCCTGGTACATCTGCCAAGACTCCTGCTGCCCATACCCTAGACTGCTGCATTTTGCATAAGATGCAGCTTCTGAACAGTCTTCAAGGCCAACCCCAGATAGAGTACATTGCACTAATCTAACTTGGAGATTACCAACACATAGATCACTGAACCCAGATCATCCCTGTCCAGATAAGGGCATAACTGGGGCAGCTCTATTCTGTGCCACTGAGGCCACCTGGACGTCAAGTGACAGATGGTTCCAGGGGAACCCCCAGGCTAAGAACCTGTGCCTTCAAAGGGAGTGGAACCCCATCCAAAAAAAGTTGAGCAATCTTTATAAGGTCAGAGAATCCCTTCTATTCTCATAACTAGGTTTGGTTTAACCCCCCAACAACCAAGAGTTTCCAGGTTTACAACAATTAAAAGACACAACTCGGACACTTTGCTCAACTCGAGCAATTCCTGGATTAAACAAACCATCACATACAAGCCAAAGTATTTTAAAAGTATTTTAAAACAGTCCTTTCCACTCACCTTCCAAAATTCAAGCCTTTGTACTGGGCAGCTTTTGTTGGCCTATCTGAATGAAGCTCTTACTTATATGTACTGAGTACAAATGTCTTTTGCTAAATATCCATCTTAATGTTCCTGTCGGGAAATCATGCATTTATAGTTAATCTACAGCTTCCTATGTTATATCAACATTGATTAGGAAGTCAGAAAGTTCATTAAATTGAATAAGCCCTGATCTTGCAGTTTCCTGGAACAAGGGTGAGAGAGGAGAAACCAGAGCCTACTATTTAATGCCTGGTAAATCAACTGGACTAAGGAGAAGCCTAGAGTGGTACACAGCAGAAGCATCCTAGTTTTGACAGGGGTATTGAAAGTTCTTGCCCTTCTCTCCTAATGACACACAGACTTTAAGTTTCCATATGGAAGCAAACTCTTCCATCATTTTATATATGAACAGCAAATATATCAAGATCTTGTATTCCAACACCAGGACCATACAGCACATCATACAGAGTATATGCTTTTTGTTTATATTCTGTAGTTTAAAAGGAGACCCTGAGAACCAAGGTGTTTTGCAGCCTCATAATCTACAGTTACTAGGCAACTGTGCAGTTACATGACTTTTTGAAAAGATGCAGATCAATTGTAAGAGTCAGTTATTAGACTCATGTCCTCCAGAGAGACAGCAGGAGTGGATTTCATGCTGCTGACAGATCAAGACATTCAGTTCAAGTTGCAGAGCAGGAAAAAATTCCTATATAAAAGCAAGAAAGTCTTATGGATCTTAAGACTAATAGGCTTATAGCATAAACTTTTGTGTAGGAGTGTGATCAAAAACAAATGAAAAAATACTGAGCATGATCCTGCCAAAACTATACAGTGACGTTCTACTGCCCTCAGAAAGAGAAGAGCATCTCCTTCATTATCCCCTACTGACATTAATAAAACTTCAAAGAGCTTCACTTTGGCTGGGTTGCACCCATTCATCAATGAGGATATTATAACCTTACACAACCAAATAGGATGCTGCTTCATTTATGAATAAAACTGTCCACTTAACTACACACAGAACTACAAGAGCCAAATGTTCTAGCTGTCATTTAAGGTCCAATACCTAAAAGCATATTTTAATTATGTTATTTTGAATCCTCATAAGTTAGAACATGAGTTGTACTGATCTACTGGTATTTTGTCTTCCAGTGGACCTCATTGTTTTTATGAGATTTGTCAACACTCATCAGTTTCAATCCTGTGCTCACTTACCTATAAAATAATTCCTATTGAACTAAGTGGGGTTTAGACTTCCAAGTACACACACTCTAAATCAGGACTGTTATGCCCCAGTCTAACTGGTATGCATTCTATTCTCCAGTGCACTTCAACTCTTCTTTTTGTACACATCTACCACTTCTTAAATTTGTGAAGCAACTAAGTAGACAACCACATTTTTTTAAAAATCACATTGCATTCAATGCTGTAGTGTCCAAGGGTCCCTGTGATGTAATAAAGGGTTGTATAACAGGATGTTTAACAAGTTCGGTCATCACCCCACCCCCAAAAAATGGTGTTAGAATTTTAAAAACCAAATAAGCATAGCAACAATTAACTTAAAAACACAAAGTAGTAGATGATTAGCAAGGCAATCCCTTCATAATGCTGCCATGCGCACAGTGAGTTGTATCCAACGTTACAATAGAAGAGAAAGTACAAGGAGAGGCATTCTTCTGTTTGCACAAGCATAGCTAGTGTAAGCAGCACCTAGCCTAATGGAGATGTGTTGAGGAACTGCAACACCTTGCACAAGAAAAATCAGAGTATTGCATCTGACCCTTTTCCACATGTGGTAGAAGCCTTGCCTTTGGAGAATGAGACAATTGGATACAACTCACACACACATGCTTATCTGTCTTAAGAACATAACTTGTCCTGCTCCTTCCTATCAAATGATAGGATGACTACCCCCATATCCTAAGACAGAGACCCAAACCAGGCAAGTTGCACAATAGTAACCAGGTTGATAACCAAAAAGATCCAACAACATTCACAAAGTAGGAACATTTATGTGATACAGAGGAGGGTAACATACGGCATTTACCAAGTCACCATGCCAATAAAACAACATGCAACGTATGCCAGGAAATAACCCAGAAGAGATTGAAATGAAAGGTACATTCAAACTAAGGAAAAGGCTAAGGCTAACAGTGAAGGGAGAGACCCAAGTTATTTTGCACGTCCTAGATTTAACCAAATATTTAATAATCAAAGCAACACCATTTCTCCAAGCTTACTGGAGCCCCAGATCATCAAATCATCTCTTTCCATTTAAGAAAAGATTAAATAATAGATTCTACTTGTATCTGTTCCACTATAGCTAAAGCTCTACTATATAAGAAAGCCCTAATGATCTGGCACCAAAGCTGCTCTTGACTCCACGCAAACACAATGGCTGCACCAGGCTGTGGGGCTTGATCCCTCCAAATCAATTCTGCATGGACGCAGTGATAACCACACAGGTCAGCTGCACAGCGAGGATTAAATAATCGCACAGAGGCATTTTTATGCAAATAAAGGGGAAACAGCAACTGTGTGGCAACTGCCCTCATAAACACCACAGGAAAAGCAAACAGATCCATTCTTACAAGCTCATGCAACAAGAGTGGCGTACATGAAAATCATGTCCATAAAAGCTTGACTGTATAAACAAGTAGATGGGTAAAAATTATTTTACAGTATCCCAGTGAATCAGTGAGAGAACAAGAACAGTAAGAGAAAGGCAAATTCATTCTCTACAACATATGAAATGATCCAACAAGTGCTTGGGTTTGTTTCAGGCTGTTCTACTATGGGCAGACCTAAAAAACAGGAGAATTGCTTAGCCTCATGTCAACAAAGACTCTCACATGGTCTGCACCATAAATATACTTACTTGAATCCTCCCATCGGAGAAGATGTAGTTTCCAAGCTGAGTAATAGAGAAATCCCAACACCAGAAAGAGACAGAGGGCTAGTAGCACATTACGCAAAAGCACCAGAAGTCCCATCTTCATATGGGATTCGCTCTTCTACAACACCTGGGGGAAAGAAACCAATTTGAGCCTTGCATTTTCTAATCAATTTACTATATTCTACAGTTAAAGCAGCAAATGTAAGTTCTAGACTAGGCATTGACCCCAGCTTATTTAGCACTTTGGAAAACAGCCTGGTTCAAGTATGCAATTCAGTTTGCATTGCAATTTGGAGTCCATCCACATCAAACTGGTATGGAATTTTAGAAATACGAGGCTTTGTGCTTCCCAGTGACTATCATGGCAATATGGTGTTAAAGGCTATTTTGCCCCTCTTGGTCAGAAATGGAGCCACACTCTCTGCTCTAGCCTTAATCAGCCCAGAGAACAAAAAGCAAAAGCAGGAGACATAGGATAGGTGTCACACAACACAACAAGCTGGTGTGTCATGTTGTCCGAACCCCAGTGTGGTATTTTGGTATGGTATGGCTTTAGAATCCAAGAACAGAAGCAATACTCTGTTCTATGACACCTATGACACAATGGCTTCTTGTGTCGCCTGAATCTGGGAAACACAGCTCTTCATGGTGTCATGGTACCAAGGCCAGGACCATAGAACTGGTTTGCCAGAGTGGCCTTGCTGTTCTTGCCCAGCAGCTGGCCAAAGAATGCTACCAACAGCTGCTGTTTTGCTGCTGTTTCTGCAGTACTGCCCAGCAGATTTTACCTCTTTTTACCAAACTGTGGACCAAGCAACCCCCTCTTGCCCTGTGGAGCAAGAGCTGAGGTGTCCAATTAGCTCCTTCATCTTCTGCACTGCATTTCAGAACAAGAGCCCTGACAAAGACTGCTTGACAAGTGAGGCTGTCAAAGAAAATCTCCCTACAGTGCCTCCTGGGATACCACCTGGAGGACTGAGCAGGAAGGGGACAGTGGAGGCAGTAGAGTTACCACCATGTTCCCAATCATCTACTAGGCACTTCTATGCAAAAAAATATGAAGCATGAAAAGCACACAGGGTTGCCTGTTGTGACATGTGAATATATCCATAAAGCTGATGTATCTCTTTGCTAGCAAAGCCTCATTCTAGATGAGCTTCAATTCTGTTGGCTATCCCTAGGAAATGACAAGCCCACACTGAAACAGCCTACGTCTTCTCAGGCTTTGGGTTTCATCTGAATCCAAAACACATCCTTGATAGGTTCACTTCCTAGCATACATATTATCCAGGCACTCTTATCATGGACAATGATACCCAATTCTGTCTATCTCTTCCACGGACATTAAGTTCTAGTAAGACAAACAGAATACACTTGTAACTGCAAAAATCAAAATAAAATCAGGATGTTACTCCTCCAAGCTTTAGTCTGTCATTGCAAATACTAACTGCTACTAGATTGCTAAAACACAGGAAGCCAGCCCTTTACTTGATCAGTCTGATTTGGAAGTCTACTCTTCCATAATGCATTGGGCTCAGTTTAGAACAATTGCTGAAATTTCAGACATTCTAACTTTTATTCTATAAAATAATCCACAAGATGGATGAATGGCACAAAAATACTTATACACAAAACACCAAGTCTAAACTTGCCTGATTTAATTATACAAGTCCCAAAAAAATAACTTTTCCCTTAAAAAGTATTATTCATGTTCATTTGAATGTTACTCGCAGCCATTTATCCTTTGTACTATTATCCTGTTATTTACATCATCGTAAATAGTTTTGGCTCCCTCCAAAACTTCATCAACCTTCCTTTATCAATTCCAACTACAATATACATCATGATTATGGCAACAATGCTCACAAAGTTCACTGAGATAAAGTACTATAAGATCCAATATCTTATAGATTATATGGCTAGGTTTTATAGGTGTGGCTAAGCAAGGCTTATACATTTCCAGTGTCTCTAGAACTGTTCAGAATGGTACAGAAAACCAACTAATATTAGATTATATTGACTTGATATATGGTTCTGTTAGAACTACTCCCATTTTGGAACAGTAAAATCTGAAAATTATTATTTATTACTTAATTATTACTTAATAACAAGAAAAATGATGACTGCTCAGCAATGGAAAATATGAATCTGCCATCTACAATAAACTGGATGAATGAGTCACTGTTCTTATAAAAAACTTTTGAGTTTTGTGGGTATTGGAAGTTCAAAAACAACAATCTGTTCTGAGAAAATGGGACTTTATTTGCATTACGTTGGAACAAAAAAATAGAAGATTCAGGCTAAATTCAGGAAGCCCACTCATAGTTAGAGAACTGCATATACATCACAATCTAGACACTTCCTCTTTCTAATCAAGTACTTCCATTTTTGATCACACTGCACAAAATTGCAACCTCAGTGCCAACTATGGTTTAACGAAAACAAGAAGCCACAATTAAGCCACACACATGAATAAGAGGAAGAGCAGAGGAAGGATAACGAACAGCTGTGCCTTACTCCTAATCCTCCAAACAGTGGCTTGGCATATCATCGGAATTCAGATATTCTAGAACCACATACTGATCAAAACCACTGGGACATAGCAAAATAGGATTTATCCCACAACTTGTCAGGTGTGGATTCTATAATACATTAAGGGTGTGATCCTATGGCCACCAGATGCCACCCAGACGTACACAAGAGAACTTGGAGTACTAGCTCAGACTTCAGAAACTTGTTGGAGCTTAGTCTATGAACTCAAAGTGCCATCCCTGCCCCTTCACAGCTGGTGCAACAAAAGCAACCTTCAAGACAGAGCTTTGTGAGTATTCCAGTGGTGGGGAGGAGAGGAAGAGACTGGTGTTGATGCCTGGTGGCACCTGAGCCTCCTCTCATGCTCTGGGGCAAGCACTCAGCCGAAACTCGCCTTCTAAGTGTTTTGGAGGGCAGGGGAAGCATGGAGGTGACCTTCACCTCTCAGCATCTTCCACCCTCTTAACATGCTCATAATCCTCTGAGTTCAGAGGGTTGTAGGCAGCCTCATTGGCATACATGGGCCAGATTGCCCTCCCCTAAACAAAAAGAGCACTTGCTAAAATGTTCCAAATACTGTAATAGCCCCAAGCAAACATAACACATTGTTCTAAGAAAAATATGCCAATCTGCATGGTTTTATTAACAGAGTGCAAAAGCTAGGGCCAGAGACACAATATATTAATTTGTTTTAATGTACAGAAAGTCCTATTAAAAGACAGCTGATAAATGGAAACCTTGGTGCTCTTTTATAAGGGCAAATTATACACAATAGTGAAGAGCACGTCTTCTGTTGCCTTATTAATGGGGAAGTACATGAAGCAGACGGAAAAGACAGTGAGTGAGCAGAAACAAAGTCTCTACCCTCCAACCATTAGAGTACTTCCCTCTAGGTTTTAAAGTTTTCACTACATACAGTCTTGCAACATGAAGTACCTTCATCTAAATTCTGGGTCCACATTTATATGAGACCACTGTTACTGTGATTGCACCTTTCTTTAAAATTCTTTCGGGAAGCAGTAGGATTGGTGTTGCAAATGCGCACGGGATTCTGACAAAACCTGAAGTCCGGGCAGAATCAGGCAGTTTCAGTCCAGTTCTGTTGCACCCCAAGGCAAATGAGGATTCTCTCCAAAGCCATGAACTGATGTCATGTCCAGAATATGGTTTCATTATCAGCACGTCTTCAGGCAATGTGCAAACCTGATGTCCCCTGAATATATTCTTATATATTTCATGTCTAATTCATCCACTATCCGATGTTCTATGGATGAATTACAAAGAGTTAAATAATTAAAATGTCATAGAAAGAATTAAAATATTAAATGTAATATTTAACATAATACAATACAATAAATCCCTAATTCAGTTGCTCTAAACACTAATTATGGGCAGAGGGAGGGCATCCAGTTGAGTGACTGGCAACAGAATTTCAATTTTACAGCACATTTTACCATGGCTGCAATCACTGTGCCTTGGGGGAAGGAGTGGATTCCATTTAGGTTTTCATAAAAATTCTCTGTCTTCCATTTCTCTCAGTAACAGCTTAGCACTTTTCTACACAAGGCTGTTAATCCACTATATCGTCTTTGAGTTTTGTCGCAGCCATTCATTTCCTCCTTTCCTGCTACATGACCTCTAGGAAGCATTGCAGTATAGCAGAATAACAACTGCACAAGTAAAAAAGCTGTTTCTTTAGCTTTCTCAAATAGGTTTTCTACTAAAAAAAAAAAAAAAAACAACCCTCCCTGATTACTGATAGTGACATAGGAATATCATGATCCGGGCTGAAGACCCAGTAAACAGCTATGAGTAGGGAATGACAAGTACATCATACATGCCTCATGTAGAAAAGGTCTTAGGGAATAAGGGGGGAAATGGGATAAATTACTTCTGAGTGGGTGAGGTAGGATGACATGGCTTCAAGTTTTAAGGCTGGCTGGGACATGGCTGAAAGTTGTAAGCCTTTTTTCTAGAGTTAAAGCAACACTGAAGCAAGCAGACACATAAGGGGGCACAGGACAGCCCTGTTGGTAGAATGAGCCTCTTGGCAGAAGAGCTGGTTCAGTGACTGATGTTTAAAAAGCATACTCAAAGCTATACTTAAGTTCAAGATAGATTCACTCACAGTATATATCTGCGGATCACCTGAAGGGCTGCAATTCTGAAGAGTGAGCAAATCCTGCGTAAACTAAGAGACAAGATTCTCTCTCCTCTCTTAGTAATTAGAGAACGGGAGCATTACAATATTACGCATGGACTACCTAAAGGAACTCTGAAATATAAAACCAAGTTGGTTTGAACTACAGGACAAGTTTTAGCATACAACTCAACAGCTGCAACTATAGGAGGATCTGGGTTTCTTAGCCTGATCACTGGTTCCAGCCACATGTAATTTTACACATTTTTCAGATATCTAAATCCTGTTTCATGGCTCCTGTGTCAAACGCAACAAAAGTGACAACACTCACAACATCCACCAGCATTAAGGGACACAACTGGTAAACACTCTACTATTCCAGAGACTTCAAGAAAGCAAACTGCCATTCCCACCCCTTCATTCTGCTCACCTGAAAGGAGTTCCCCTTTCCTTCA